CATTGCATAGCATTTACTCCTTCTGAGGTTACTTATAGGAAAATATAATCTCCCGTTTTACTGCTATGCAGATGACTTACAAATTGATCTGCCCTTGAGGACAAATGAGGATACTGCATCACAGTGTCTATCTGAGTTTTTGTTCAAAAACAAAAACAAGACTGAGCATATTCATCACCCCAGGCATGCCCACTAGATTTGAGTCTAATCTTGGATGTCTGGTTTCTCAGTTGTGTGTTGTTCAGGTCACCAGAGACCCGTTTTTTTTTTATCTAATTAAAAAAAGATACAAGTAAATAATTTTTCAAGATCAGATTCAGTGGCCTTGGCTTATTTTGTGTGAACAACATATAGCTGAACACATTTTCAACGACCACACACTGCAACCCAACCACACACACACACACACATTTACATTATTTACATTACATAGAGGATGTTCGTGGGTCAACTTTACGGGCTAATAAAACTGTGTTTTTTGCAGCTGTGTTGCAAAATACAAGGGCAAAGATACAAGTAATTATGTTTTCAAGCTCAGACTCAGTGGCCTTGGCTCATTTTCTGTGAAGAACATATATCAGAACACATTTTCAATGACCACACACTGCACCCCTCTACACATTTACATACATAGAGGATGTTCGTGGGTCAACTTGACCCAGTGTAATAAAAGTGTGGTTTTTGCATTTGTGTTGCAAAATACAAGCGCTTACACCTGTCTGCTCACATATTCCACACCCTACACGCCACACCCTGCACATTTCACACATTCCTGCCCATTGTACCCTCTACCTTGTGGGCACAACACCCACAGGACAAATACAGTAAATATTACCAGTGTAGTTCCTTAGCACAACCGATATCACAGCTGATCACGATGGCCAAAGGAATCTCTGTTCAGAGGGCCTTGCATTCACATTTCTGAAAACTCAGTTTCATTTTATTTTTCAGCTTTGTCTACTCGCTAAGATAATGTCCTTCTTTACAGGAACCTTAAAAGGTAAATCATGCTTTTATCAGTTTATAATTAGACTACTATAATGTACATTATTGTATGTTGGAGCCAACCAATCTTATCTTTATTGTCTCCAAGTATAGTATGCTGCTGCTGCTCACCTTACTCCTGAGCATGAACATAAAACTCACATTCTTTGGTCCCTCCTTTGGCTCCCTATACATTTTAGAATTGATTTAGAAATTTTAATGTTCACTTTGGCTTATCCCCTTCATACCTGGCAGAACTTGTAATCCATTGCAAGCACGACAGAGCACTCAGGTATTCCGGTCAACTTCTGTTAGAAGTCCTGAGAGCTAGATGTAAGTGATGGGGCGACTGCGCCTTTTCAGTGGCGGCACCTAAACTGTGGAACACTCTACCAGCTGACAAAACTAAAGACCTATTTATTTACATTGGCTTTCATGTCCCTGTAGTGTCCTGACACTTTTTCACTTCACTTGCTTTAACTCTTAACTTTTTTGGAAATTTAATGTTACATTACTATGTTATCTGTTTTTTACAAAGTACTTGTTTGTGCGAAGTACTTGGCGTTGACGTGTTTTATTTTAAACTTGTTTTTGCAGTTATTTTATTTTACTTTTACGGTTATAAGACTTATGTAAAACACTTTGTTTAACCCATCATTGTTTTAAAGCGCTATTTAAATAAATGTTGATTTAATTTGATTTTGCATTTGCACAACAATAGTTCTGGTTTTTTGTTGTTTTATTTATGTGTGCAACATTGTACATTTCATTTGAGAATGCTTTCCCTAACCCTAACTATGTCGTTTCTGTGCCTTAACTTAATCATGTATAAAGAATGCCAGCCATTGTCTTTGCTTTCACTGCCAGAAAGCTACTGCAACGTTAGAATTTTCTAGGCATTATTGTGAGACTAGTACATGTTGCATTGCTGACCATTTTGTTGTGACACTGGGTTAAAAAATTGGAAGGATTTTGAATTCACTGTAAATTTGACAGGACTCTCATGTAATAAAGCAAGCATTGTGGTAATATGAGTAATGTAGCACTGAGGTATTAAGAACTGCTAAAATTGTGTAACATAATATTTAATAAATGTGTAAATGCACACCTTCTTTGCTTCAACAAAAATATAGTAAATTGCAATAGTCAAGATGTAGAACAAAAGAAGCCACCTGCTGATTTTGTTTGTTTTTTTTTTTTTTAGCTGTTAAAAGGCAAAAAATTTGAAGGGGCCTTATTTATTTCTGTGGTTTGTGTCCTGCTTCTTGTTTTGTGCTTTTATTTTTGGTTAGACTTCCTGTCTTATTGTATGTCGGCTTACCTGCCCCAGCTTTACCCTGGTTCACAATCACCATTCATGGTTTCCACCTGCTGCTTGTTAGCTTCTGGTCTCCTGTCTATATATCCTCCTTCCTTCTCTCAGTCTGGTTCATTTTGTTTCCACACCTTGTTGCCCCTGTCATCTGTTTGTCACTTTCTGATCACTACACCCTGTCTGTTTGCGTTCGTTGTGGATTTTCAGTTTGTGCTTTCAGCAGGTTTGTTTCAGCTTTTTGTGGTTTTGAGTTCTTTTGCCTTGCTCCCTGACTGAACTGTTGTTGTAAGTTTCTGTCCACGTTCTTTATTTGTGTCAGGTTGAGCCTCGCGTTTTTTGCCCTAGTCCTATGTTACACCCTTTCATTAAGAAGTCAGTTCAAGCAACTCCTTGGCTCTTGTGTCTGCACCTTGGGTCCTACCTCATCCGTAAATCCTAGCAGTTTCTGAACCGGGAATCAAAAGTGATCCTCATTTTACAAAAGCATTCAACCACAAGAAAAAATAAATTTGTCTGTAAAAACATAAATATGCTGTCACTGAGGGCCTAATTTCAGACAGTCAATTATTTTGCAGCATATATTGTACCAGACTAGATGATCTTGGTGAGTCATGATTCAGCTGCAGCTGTCAAAATAAGGATAGTGGTCACACAGCAGGGGACCTTACCAACAGCGACAGCAAAAAAAGAACAAGTAAAGCAAAGTAGAGAAGGAACATCGGGCTAAACCCAGGGTTTATAGTTGCTGGTTATTTCGACCTCAGGCTGTTTAAAGGTAGACTGCTCATCAGGATGAGTGATGCATGTTGAGTCAGAAATTTGGCCAAATTAGGATGTGGGGGTGGTGGTAGTGGTGGAGAGGTTGTTTAAAATGTCTCTTTGAGGACATGTACACTTGCTTTAACAGGCTCGTGCATTTTCTACTAAGAATACCCTGGTGTGAATATCCATAAGTGTGGGCAAACTTGTACTTTATAGGTCAGTGAACGAATAACATACAAGAAAATCTACATCAAGCAACAAAATCTCCATATACTTAGTCCTTGTGGTGGTGACTTGCTGTGCGGAGTTTCAAATGTGGCGCCCACTGCAACAGCTCTGTGATTAATACCACTGACAAAGCAGTAACAAATGATCGATTGAGGATGTTTGGGTTCTAAAGACCATTTCCCCTTCACTTGCTTTGCCTTTTTTAAAGCCATCTGATATTTTGATCACTGGCAGGGGCCATGTCAGTGGAATTAATCACTAATTTAAAGCTGGAACCTTCTCATTTGCAGAAACTCCAACTCTACAGAAGGAGATTTTGAATGATTAGTTAATTTCAGATTCACCAGATGTCAATAGAGCTTTTAACATGCCTTTAAAGAATGTGCCATGAATAGCATTAGCACAAACACATTTTTATAACGGTATGAGTCTTGTGTTAACCATGAATTAGGGCTTGTGGTTTAAAGTTTGACACTTTTACTGTGCTGTGTGCATATGTGTTTGGCAGACAGTGAGGACAAATAGAATGCATCTAAAAAATAATTACACCATGCCAACAGCTTCTGTTACTGTCATGTGCTTTTGGCAGTTTATTTACTTTAAGATTTACAGTGATTTTAAAAGGACATTATCCCCTGCGCTGTCTTTTCTTTAACATTTATTTGTCCACAAATAAGCAATATGCTCAAAGTGTCTGTCAAAGAAATCTTCATTCATATTTAGCCATAAAAACATGGCTCAACATTTACAACCTAATGCATTATGCAGCAGAAGCTTTTAAAAAAGATGATTGGAGAATTCCCATCTGAAATGCAGCTGCAACATCAAAGCGCAAGTGGGAGGAAAATTAAATGGTACAGAAATAAATAATGGTAGACTTCATGTCTTCGCTAATTGGGATCTCTGGCACTTAGGTCAAAAGGCCACCACCAGGCAAAGCCAAAGATGAACAGCTCTGTTGTGTTAAGGTGGAAAAGTACAATAACATGTTGTGTCCTCAACCAACACTTATCACTGAATGTGCATGCTCAGTACTGCATGTGTTATGAAGAATTTCTCGATGAGGAAAGTCCATCCTACCATCCCTACTGCGCCAATAAAGGCTTCTCCCCCAAGGTCTGCGTGGATGCTGCCAAGCAGCCACACGAACACTAGAGGGCTCTCTCCATGGACAGCAGCACAGCCCCTCTGCTGTCACTCATACACTCTACTGCACTCACTCTCTCTCTCTCTCTCTCTCACACACACACACACATTCAGCTATAATGGGCAATGATGAACGTGACCTTTCCATTAACTGTCTTAATAAGACCTGTGTAACCTGTAAGACCTGTTCATTGTTTGTTAATAGTCTTATCTTTAGTTTAAAATGCACAGAATTTCCTCCTGTGTACATTTATGTGTCAAGAATACAAATCAACCATACAGCTGAACAGTGCGTGTAAAGGCAAGGAACTGAAGAAAACCTGAATGGACAGAATAGTTCTTTACTTTCTATTGTGCCAGCAAGGCCACAGTGTGTGTCCATCTTTTCATTGCTTAACCCTATCAAATTGCAGTGTAAATTAGCAGCCTCTGCTTCGTTTCGCTGATCGCATGGTCTATTTCATTCCATTAATAGCCTAGAGAAGTGAATGCCAACTCATGCGTCACTACCTTAACAAAGAGCAGAGTTAGAATACAGAGATGAGAAAATATACTAATGAGAGTATTTTACCTGCATACACCTATGTAATCGCGCCAGCTACAGCAGGCGATTCGGTAACCTTTGCGCGCCCGTGCCTTTGCAGAGTGGCATGCACTCATTTGTGCGCCTGTTGACCCGGCTCCTCATCAACCCAATGAGCGCCGTGGAGGGGAGGCTCTCTTCGCCACCATACATCTCTCCTCCATCTCCTCCTCACTTTTCCAGTCGGCCAGCAAGCCTGTCGGAGCTCTTAACTACAACCCCAACACTGTCACTTCGCTTTGACTAACTGCAGGAAGGATTTCTAGCCTCTTGTCTCTCCGCTTCTCACTCCTTTTCTCACCGCCTCGAATTAAACGATTTGGACTTTTTCGTGCATTTTGAGGAAAAAATGGTGAAACGATGCAGCAGCGGGAAATGATGCAAGTCTCTTTGGTAAGTATATTCCGCCACCATGATATACAAACCTAACAGGTCTTACAGTGCTGTTTTGTGGCGGGGTTTAACAGGACTTCTTATAGCCCCTTTCTCCATTGCCTGGTTACATTCAATTTTTCCAGGAACATTTAAAGGAGCGCGATGGCACGGAGACACAACAGAAGTCTACAGTAAGGACTGCAACTTAGACTACCTTTTAAATTCACATTTTAGTTACCTTTGTCGCGGTATAAGTTGCACATACGCTGACTGCACATGCTTTATTTCCCGTAAATGGGACCGTCTATGCGTTCAAGTGCCACATTTGATGCACTGAGATGTGCTGCTGGGAAACTGTCTGCTCAAAGGGTAAAAACTTCAGAAGAGAGAGGGTGAATTTGGGTAATCGCGGTATGTGCTGCAGACTATTGCAGAGCAGTAAAAGACAAGTAACAGCCTCAAACTTTATAGCTAAATTGCTGGTTTCATATTTAACCGGATGACTAGAAATTAAAAAGAAAAAGAATTGCTCCAGTATATGGGTTTGCTACCTTGGACAGCTCCTGCGCTGCCGGCGCTTGGTTTTCGGGTGAACCGTCTGGACTGGCTGCTTTCTGTCGGGGAGCTCTCCGAACCTCGTGGTCCTGAAGCCGCTTGCTTAGTCACGCACCGCAGTGACTGGATAATGCGCTAAAAAGAGGGGTAAATAGCAGTTTTATGATAGTTACATTTTATATGGCTCATAATTTTGTGTTTTAACAAGTTAATAGGCAATTCGTTATTCGTTTCAGGAGCCTGTAGTTGGAGAATGTCACAGTAATTCGGATTTCTTCACACTTTATGATATTGCGGTTGGCTTCAGGTGGAATAAGTTACAGGTTATTGTCCTTGAAATTGCACTGCTGGAACCCTTTATTACTCCATACTGTGTGTAGTAAAAGTTACTAGAACTAACACTGACACTGTGTTGAAAGCCAGCCATTCGATGCTGTGATAGCATGTCCACCTGCATCAGTTTTAGCTGAGGACAACTCAAAGCCAACCCTTTGTGTCTGTGCCTTTTGTGCCTCTGGTTCTTCATTCTAGTGAACTATACACATTACTGTGTTGTACAATGAAACACTGGAGAAGGTGAAGTGAAAGTTAAAGCTCAAGCTATTTATGATCTAAAGGTAAAATTTACATTAGACTACATCCTTTCTTATTTTATATTACAGTAGTATCACACAGTTGGATTTGATATGGTTATTTTTGTTTGATTACAGTCTTTTGTTAAAAAAAAGTTTATATCCATGCTTATCAGAGAACAGGAATTCCAGTTTATTATTACAAATTTAATTCAATGATTATACATTCCTCTAAACATCTTTGCAGTTATCTCATCAGTTTTACATTGATATCAGTAAGCTGCAGCGCTACTGACACTGTAGAGCTCACTTGCAACCAGCCTCTCTATCTAAAGGTGACACTGCTTCATACATACATGGATATCTAAAGAATTTTAGCATCTAATAATATTTAACCCAGAATGAATTTTCAAAACATTAATCATAAGGAACATGCAATTACTCACAGTCTTTCCAGGACAATCCCCAGAACATCAGATTAAAGCAAAGCAATCTGATGTGGAGGGCTGAATAGCCTCAGAGAACAGACATACCCATTTGCTGTTCAATTGTAGCAGGATAATATGAAAACAAGATTGGAATAAAGGGTCATGACTGCTACAGACAAATAATTTGTAATGATTAAGTGGTATCTTGACTTTTTATTCTAGAATGAGAATTTGATTTGTTCATGTTTATTTGACTGCTTTCTTGTTTGTACCCCGTCTTTCTTTCCCACCTCCTGACAGCTCTTCATAAGCCTGAAAGACAACTAACAAACTGACATTGCTCTCCTATAGGTGTCCCCCTCGGAATAATGCCAAATGGATGCTGTGCTGAGTGCCTCACCCCCTCACCAACTGCTATGGAGGCATGCCAAGCCACGCAAGTGACCTTTATCACACCATGAATGCAAGCTCTGCTGTTCAAAGAGGACACAAGTAACCTTTTCTTGTTATCTCAGACGGAGCAGTTGATCTGAAAGGAGGAGGGGGAGACTAGAGGCCAAGAGAGAAGAGTCTCATAAAACAAACAAACAAACAAACAAATAAAACATACAACGGCAGGATGCCAAAACAGTCCGAGGAAATGCTCATGGATTTGTGGATGCCAATGCTGTTGGTGTGGATTACTTGTGTTTCCTGTGTGTCTGTGACTCCTATCGTAGGCCAGTCCAACAGTACACAAACTGATGGGTCTGCAGCGATGGCGAGCAGTCTTGGCGAAGGACAAAGATTACTGAGCCGTGCCAAGAGAGGCTGGGTTTGGAATCAAATGTTTGTGCTGGAGGAATTTTCTGGACCCGATCCAATTCTAGTTGGCAGGGTGAGTGCTGTGATTGTCAGCATTATATTAAGCTCGCTTATCATGTGGAAACATTAATTCGACCATTTGAATGTACCATACATTTTTTTCCCCATGGGCAGCGGGAGGGTTTTGGTTGTCAAGGGGAAGCAAAGATATGGGGACAAGAGAGAGGGAGGCGAGGGGGAAATCACAAAATTCTTTTGGAAATAATTGAACTCCCCTGAGATTACGGTGGCAACATTTTTTTTACTGGGTTTGAGAACCGTACAACAATCATACTGATTATCATGTTATGTTTTTTGTTACTTTTTTAATATATATAATTCATTCTCTTCCACAAAAGACAGATGCATAAAATGTCTTGCCTTTTTTGGAAAACAAGACCTTATGTTTGTCCACACTCATTGCTTCTTGTAAAGGCATGATTTGTTAATTGTGCGCAACATGGATAAGAAAAGTCTGTTTTAGTTAGTTTTTCCATTGCAGCTCTGAAGTAAACAACTGCAGGCTAATCCTGCAGCTAAGGGCCACCTGCTCCTTGGCCTGTGTGGACGTGTCAGGCAGGTTTCAAGGGAGGGGAGGGCGGTTGTCCAGTCCAACCAAAGCAGCTTGTTCACAGCTCGTTGCTGGGACTCACCTGGGGAGAGAGAGTCTGGCAGCCGCACTTTACTCTCTTCCGTAGAATATCACCCAGCCACTCTGAAATGGGCAGGATTGCAATCAAGCACAACATTTGATCTCATTCAATAATAGCTTCTGTAAACAGTGTATCAGTGATAAGAAGACATATTGCCATTGTGGTACCACAATTATTTTTTCAACTCCTCAGCATTTAAAAAAGCTAAAAAAAAAAAAAAAAAAAAAAGCAATACTTTTGTTGCAGAAGAAAAGTAAGTTGCTCTTGGTACAAGCAAATGCTTTTAATTTCAGTGGCTCTTGTTGTTGTTGTTTTTTTTTTCTAGTCACATGTCTGCATCAATTAAACATTTGTAGCCATGCGGAATTTGCACCTGTGTTTTCTAAATACCATATGAACACAAAAATGCTGTTAAGTGATGCATTAATTTTTCAGGCAAGTCAATTAGACAGCCTCTGCTGGATTTGACAATGGATGCTCATCAGAATGCTAAAACAAACAAACACTCTCCGGGGTTACAGTGACCACACGTAAGCTTGGGATTTGAAGGTTATATCACAGCTGTGAGATACTGAGCATCAAAGATCTGACAGATCAACGAACCGTTCTATATTTATTATAGATATTTAACCTGATGTTTCTGAAGATAAATTAAAACAAAAAAGTGGCACTGAAAGCTGCACAAGCATGAGTAACAGTCACAGACTAAGCATATGTGGATAGCAGAGTTTGAATTCATAATTCCAAGCTCTTGCTTTGAATACTGTGCTGTGTGCCTCTGGCCTGAGTGCTCTGCCAATTGTCATTGTTATAGGCAAAAGATTCTTCCTGTTGATGACCGGTGCAAGGACTGAGTGTGGGGTAGGAGAGCAGCTCTGAGTAAAGAAGAGTGCAACTTCTCTTTTATGAGGTGATGATGATGGGTTGCATTGACTGCAAGGTTACAAACTCATGAGTATGACTGGGTGAGTTAATGATAAGTCCTACTGTATGTTAAACCTCAATGGCACTGTATTGGTTTAAGGCTGTAAATATCTGTCCCTCTTAGAACCTCTGTCTCATTTTCTTCACATTTCTCTGTGTTTCTCATGCTTAATTACTGAATCAAGTGAATAGGAGGTGTGTTTCAGATGGTTATTCAGCTGTCTGTGTATTTTGCATAATCTCCTCTGGTGTGTGTGAGGCCATCTATGTCTGTGTTTGTGGGCTGATTATCAAGGATGTCCAGGCCAAACTGGACTCTTTCCATCCTATAGACTTTTATTGCCCGTGCACTCTGAGGTTTAATTATACATGCATCCCCAATCTTTGTCTGAGACTAGACTCCCCTCAACTACACCAATATTGGGATTGAACGTGAGAGATAGTGTTTGTGAGAGGGACAAAGAGAGATTGTGCCATCGATTTTTAACGGTGTGTCATTCTAAGTGTTCTCTCTCCGCAGAGACTATTAGCATAAATGCAGGAAAGCAGGTGGAGGCTGATGAGGGGAGGCGGAGGTGTAGAAGAGTGAGAAGGACGGCCACAAGGTGTGACAGCACCCTTCCCTTTTGCTGTTCTTCTTCAGCGCATCGTTTCTTGACATTGTGATTCACTGAGCGCCGCGTTCGTCAGCCCCCGTCAGTCCTGTTGGTGTCGGGGAGGCAGACAGGCAGTACTTGTTAAAGTGAAGCAGGGGAGACAGCTGTGAAAGCTTGTTGCTTGGCTGTAGCTTAAAACGAACACGGTGTTGGAACGGATTTTAGGATTACTCATCATGAGCCAGGGATGGTTCAGAAATAACCTCTTATTAAGAACTGAAATAGACAAATGGAGTGTGAGGGTAAATGGGTTTGAATATGCTGCTCACACGGACTGAACTAGGGGATGGGCATCGTTGGTGACGAGTGGGAGATACGATTTGAGCAAGTGAAGACTCTTGTAGACCACTGGAAGGCAAGCAGAGGGTAATTTTTAGGCAAGGCAGCTTGTGATTTACTACTGCCCAGTCATAATGGAAAATGGTTGCCTGGGTTTAAAATGAAATGAGACATGTATAAGGCTGTTGGAATTTTATTGAAGATCTTTCTCCATTTGGTATGAGGCCTGTCCAAACTTTTTGCAGTGTCAGCCATGTTTTCCCACCAGTTTCAATCAAAGCTATTTCAATTATTCAAACATACAAAGAAGAAACTCATTTACATCAGACCATTAAAGAGAAAATGTTGCCTTAGAACAAAAGACAAACAGTGAACAATTTGCTGTGTGTGCACTAAAGAGAAATTAGAATGTGTTTTCTTTGTAGTGTGGGACAGATTGATGGCAGTCAGCACTGAAATATCTCACAGCCACAGATTAAGTTTTATAACTCGTTTGCTTCCCGGACATCATTTAGCATACGTTGTGTGAAGATTAATAATGACAGATTCCAGTTTGCTGAATTGTAGTGAAGATGTGACAAACTCATTGATCCCTTATCCTACTGTCCAACATTTCCGTTTGCTACGGCACTGTATGTGTTCCCCTACATAGAGAACTGAAAATCAACTGTTAGTATTCATCAGTTCAGGCTGAACCACAAGATTGCCAAGGATAATACAGAAAATAAAAGGGCTTTGATTACTGATTCTGCAAAGTCAACAGATATGTCTGTAAGAAAAAAAGTAGTTTTGTTTTTCTTCATGTATGTGGTGTGGAACAGAAGCTTCATTCTACCAAACAAGCTGTTTGACAGGATTCCCAGCAAGAAGTGCAACAGCATTGTCAGACTAGTGGAGCTTTGCTAGAGGCAGAGGTGATCTTCTGTAATACAAGCCAACAAGTCCTCCATCCCAAATGACACTATGGATCGATTGCTTGTTCCCGCCTTAGAATACAATGCATAGCCCATCCAGTGGTGTGCACCAGACCTTTTTTGTCATGGAAACAATCATTAACAAAATTATCAAATCATTGTGTTTCATTAGGTTTAAGATAAAAAAAAAAAAAATAGGTTGGGTTTTGAAAAAATTATGTGGAATGGCCATGCATAACCTTTTACGCAGAAACCAAACATCGGCCTCCTGTGGGAAAATCCTGGGTTGGTCTCTTCCACCTCCACCTAATGTGGACTTTGTCACTCTACAGTATACTACTTCACCAAATGCAACTTCTTCTTTTGTTCGTCTTATAATCACTGTAACCGCTAGAGGTCACCTAACTGTAACACGTTCATGTTGGTCATAATAGCCTGTTGACACAGACAACATTTGGACAACAGAACAGTCTCAAGTGATGCTGAAGACCTTTTTCTAGTACTGAAAGGATTCAATCCCTCTTTCTTGTTTTCCCATTTGAATGTGCATTCAGGTTAAACTGCTAAGAGATCACAGTTTGGAATGAGTGAATGATACACCAGGGAAAGCACCTCTGTGCACTGCCATCTGGATTCATGGATTCAGTGTGTTTCTTGTAAAAAGCAGGTTCTCCTATTATATATGTTTTATATACTGAATGCTCTGTGTGGTAAAAGGTAAAAGTTAAGTATGGAGCCATCTTTTCATAATATATGTTAACCACCTCATTCTGGACCAGTCTATACCATCTTTATCTAGCTTTTTTCAAAATCAGCACAGACCTTTTTGTTGCTTTTGTGGCTTTCTGCACTTTGGACCACTAATACAAGATGTGGGACATCACTCTGTAAATACTGATACGAACCACTTCTGCTTGGCTGGATAGCCTCTCTCTTTCTCTGTCCCCAATCTACACTTCAGCCTCTCCTCTATCTCTTTCTCTATGTGATGGGGTGATTATAGACAGAGTGACTCTTGAGCCCAAGTAAGCTTGCTCCAGGGCTGACAGGGTGTGGTACAATGATATTGTTAAAAATTTCTCCAAGTGCTTGCCTTTTGTGATGCGAGGCAGCAAAGCAATGCTAAGATAAGACTGAGTCCTGAATGAAGCTGCTGGAGCAGTAGGGCCCAGTCAAGATGACTGGGCCCTACTGTGGCTGGGTTACAACAGATGAAAGGTTGAACCCCTGTGTTCGACTGAGTCATGTCAGTGTGGCCCCTGATTAGCGAATCTCCCCCGACCTTCAGCACTGGAACCTCTGGCTCCAACAACTGAGCGGATTTCTGAGTCTGTCTTCGATTAATGAATGAGGAGTGAGAGTTAGTGAGAATATTAACCAAATTATTGTCTGTGATTGATAGTAATTATGACACATACAGTAAATTATAAGTATTGGCTCAGATATAATAAATTCTGAAAGATAGCCAAAATTAGATACAGGTTCCATTGCCATGGTGCAAGGGTTGAATCAAATAGCTGTCATTAAATCCAGGAAAGGAAAAGCCATCAGTGTTTGCTGGACGCAATTTCATTCCTTTTGGTTTCTCACACTGACAGCAGCTCCTGG